AAATCGGTCGGGTCTGCGAGAGAACGTCATTGGATATGATGGCATTTCATGTGACGGTGAATATTCCCCGTCAGGTGAGGTTAGGGTGGTGGTTGTAAGGGTTTAGGGTGATTATTCTAGAAAGAATTTATTTCGTTGCATACAAAACGATATCCAAAATATAAAATACCATGAGATCTATACAAAAACATGTGTGGCTGGGTGAGGGAAGATTTACAGAGATTAGGCGGCGAATATTAGGCAGTGAGGGTGGTGTGTTCGAAGAGCTTCTCCTTGGGTGTGATCTCGATATCCCCGTAAGGCTCGCTCTGCTTGACTTTCACTACATCCTTGGTTGAAAGGACCAGCAGTTCGAAGAAGAATTTCACTGCGTCGGTTCGGGTGGCTTGGCCGGCGATGTTGCGGTACTTGAGGTTGGTGGTGGTTTCCATTCCTGGGTCAGCTGCCTTCTGAATCTCGCTTCGAAGCAAGTTCATGGTTTTGACGGTGGATTTACTGAACGCTGCTTCGGTGCCTGCTTCGGGCTCTTCGATTTCCTCGGCGTCAAAGATTTCAGATCGGCCCAAGTCTTGAGCGGTGTGTTCACTGATGAATGGCTGTTCGGCAGAGATGGAAAGTGCGGGAGAAGCGGGGACCTGGGGTATTTCCTGTAGAAATTTGGTTATTCTAATCTGTTGATCAGATTCGATGTGGCGCAGGAGCCTTACCTCGCCACCTTCTTCAGTACGCGCTTGCTCGGCAGAAATTTGCTCCTCGTGCTCAATACCGAAGATTTCGTCCTCGATGGGTGCAGGCTCACCCAAATCAATGCCAGAGGTTTCTGGCTCCTCAACAGGAACAGAAGGCATCAGCTCTTCCTCGACTAAGAAATGGGTTAATATCATCCACATGTACTCGACTAACGTAGACAGTACTTACTGTCCAATCCAAATGCCTCTCTGGATTCCTCAGCATCAGGCACTGTTTGTTGATCCTTGACCAAGTCCCTTGTGAATAAGCCCATCAACTCGGGCACCATATTCTGTGGGCCACCGAGCGACAAATAATACTGGGCTCCCTCGTCCTGGATTTGCTTCAGCCTCATCATTTTCTTGGAGACGGGAAGGTAGACCTCCTCTTGGGTGATGTCCGAAGTGTCTCTGAGCTGGCCGGAAATGTGGTCGCTGGGAAGCTCAATCACCTGATCAACAATGAGCTTTCTTTTTCTGGTCTGTCTGGAGATGATCCTTGCTGGTGCTACCATAGCTGGTGCTTCAAGCATGCTTTGCTCTACAATATTGAGGCGACTTTAACTTAATGTCCAATCCACCACAACCGTTACAATGATTCTACCTTGTTCTGGAATTTCCTCTTCGGGTGCACCCTGCTCTACAGCTATGGGCTCTTCGGGGCTAAAGAGGGATAAGTTAGAGAGGCTTCAAGAATCAACCAGCGGTGACATACTAACCGATCCAAACCAAGGTCCATATCGTCAAACAAATTCTCCTCTCCAGGCTTCGCCTCAAAGGAAAACTCTGGAAGTTCGCCCAGTGGCTCCATTCCAGGCTTTCCTTCGTCCAGAGTAATATCACCGGGGCCATCGATGGAGAAGGACAACTCTGGCTGGGCATCTCGACCGACTTCAATATCCATGGTGGAATCGTCGCCCAGCAGAGCGGGACGGAAATCGTCTTCCAAACCAAGGTCCAACTCTCTTCCCTCCTCAACTTCGAAACCCTGACCGAACAAATCATCCCGTCCTAAGCCCACGTCGATGGTGGCAGCGCCTAGGCCTTCCTGTAAGGTGATATCTTGTGGGCGAGAGACGATTTGGCTTTCTTGTGTGGGGGCCTCCAGAGCTTCCCAGTTTCTGGACAATTCGTAACCGTCAGTAAGAGTCAAAGCATCGGCAACGAAAAGTGCTACTCACTGAAGGTTGAAATCGGGGTCAGGTAACAAGATGTCGAACTCGGTAATGTTATCGGCGAGAGTGATGGTATTGAAGCTAGCTACTGCTTGTTCACTAGGCATATCAACCATACCGGGCCTAAAAGCCTAGAGTTTGGTTGCGTTAGTTTACCGCTGCCAAAAGTGCCAACCGTCCGACTCCGGGGGCGGGGAACGTACCATTTTGATTTTGACTAACGCTTCGTTACAGTCTTCAAGTAGGTATCTGGCTTTACGAGAATAAATCCTGACAACACCAAGTAGAAGTTGTCCCGACAAACGTAAGGCCAGAGGGGGTTGGTCACCACCCACGATTGCACCTGTGAAAACAATCGGTATAAGCGAGGGCCCAGGTAGCCATCTACAGGGGGGAGCACTTACCAACTGAAGATTGAATGTTGGCCTGAAGGAATTGGGCTTTACTAAGCTTCCGCTCCCAATGAGCGGCTAGCCACACCTTCGCCAGCGGGCCTTTTTTGGACAAGATCGCTTCTGAATAAAACATGCTGGTTTCTATTTACTGACAAGTAAACCAAAAATCGAACTGGTCCGAAGGAGGATAACTGTGGTTTAAAAAGGTCAAAAAGTCCCTCACACGCTAACGCGACCGTAAGGAGATAAGCAAGAAGATTGCGGGATTCGCTGGATATAAGCTGTATAGGTGTCGCGAAATATCGTGTCAATTTGGATCACCTAACTCGGCGGACTTGTGGGTGGGCTGATTGGCCGACGTTGGTATATATATCTTTATTAATAACAAACTGTAAATCAACCGATCGTTTAGGAAATCCCCTCGACGACTACGGTCAACTGTGCATCGGGTTTCTTGTTTGCTCGAATGTATCATATAAACATATTCGACTGGATTCATTGGGCCAGCCGTTCAAGGAATAGGTGACACAGTAGATGGAATGTACATTGGGTATCAAAAGATAATGGACTATTTATTGCCTGAAATGTGGTTTAACTTTAATTCAAATCAATGCATCTAGGCGGTGGCTTCCTCCTTCTTCTCCTCTTCCTTGGAGGCCTCCTCGCTGTTAAAGCAAAGGTTTAGCACGTGTCGCATAAAGAATATCCATTAATGCTACTCTTACAAGTTCTCGACAAGTTCGGGGACTTCTTCGTCGTTCTCCTCGGCGATAGCTCCCTCGGCTTGTTGGTAAGCTTCGGCGAGTCTGCGAAGGCTGGCAAGGGACTCGGGGCCGAGTTGGTGGAGGATTCCGGGAATGAGCTCGGTGAGTTCCTTGTCTTCACCCTTACCAGAGATCACGAAAGTGTTGGATTGGATGGAAGCAGCAACTATAAGCATAAAACATGTGGTTGATTAGCTTCGTTGGACGCGATCGAGGTCTCGTGAGTCATTCCGTACCCTTGGGAGAGGTGAAGTGGAGGACCTTTCCGTCATCCTTGAACATGTTGACTTCGTCAATGGCAGGGATAGGTTGGACGTTGAGCTTCTTGATAACTCCTTGAAGCTTCTTGTCGTCGGTACCGGCAGCCTTGGTGGCCTTCTTGACCTTACGGCGGGGAGTTCCCTTACCACCGATACGGACTTGGGATTGCAATTTGGCGAGTTTTTCGGGGTTCATGTTCGATTCTAAGACGTGCAAAGGGGATGGGTTAGCGCTCGGTCGTGCGGGTCGACTGGGAATTGGATGGATTCAACGCGACATCATGATTGATTCAACATACCGTTTACCAACAACCTTAAAGGATGGCCTCAAGAAAGGGTTAGGAAAGAGTGGATAATGTGGTGTTTGATTGCTTCAAATCCCTTTTCCGGGGTGCACCCCTATTTTCGGGAGGCACGGCTGATTCTACTAGATCTCAAAAATCATCTTCGTCATCCAAAAGTCAATTCGTGCTAAATCATGCTCCTGATATATGTTCCAACTCAAATGTTGTCAAGACGCAAAAAAAAATTGATGAGAGTGGGGTTCGAACCCACGCCTCCGAAGAGACTGCGACCTGAACGCAGCGCCTTAGACCACTCGGCCATCTCACCTTGCGTTTTTTCGTGATCTAAATTGGAACACCAATATTGTATTTCCAACTCTGCCATTTTGCAACTAGTATTCTACCTTAATCCAATGCTCAATACTTGCGGATGACATACTACCATATCCTGTCGAAATAAACCAGCACTAGCCTTGTAAAAGTTCAACACAGGATCAGATTGGATTACTTTCTATTGATTTAGTAATCAAACAATCTTGAAGCACGCGGTATTGTGCTGTCCTTCAAGCACTTGAAATTTACAAGTAGGCGTACTAAAATATATCAGACGCTTAAGTTTAAATAAGTACACAAGTACAGGTCGTACTACATATTTAATTTGATTGTTGAATAATAGGTGGGTAATATCAAGCTGTCAGAATGTGCAAACCGTCCTCGCCAGGCTGTTGGAATAATCAACCGGCAAGTTCATCAACTGAGTAGGTCCTATGGCCCCGAAGGGCCGATCGGTCACTACTCACACTTCCCTTTACGGACAGCGCACTACATCTCATCTACCAGCTTGGTATTAGTGTCTTTGTTGGGAAACAAAGACTGGGAATGTACTATATACATAATCCTGTAAAGTACAGTCGTGAGGAACAACCCATACCCACGCACCATATTTATACTTTCCACTCCGAAAAAATTTTCTCCAACGGACGGAAAAAATCGACGATTCGATTGCAAACATTTCTTATCCCACACCAAATCGATCCATCACGCATAACCAAACGACATATTTGGGCGGATGTGGGGGAATTTTTGGATGCTCAATCAACACTCCTTCGAAGTCTCGTGTGGCAAGTGATGTGGATTTGAATGTTGACACTACCGTAATGGAACAACCAAATCTTGACGTGATTGTGTTATGAATACCATGATAGTGATATCATCGTACCTAACCCCAAGTCTTACAAAGTATCCCAGAGTGCTTCATATTTTTCTTGAGCTTATTACCTACTATTGTTGTCTTTACGGCAATCGACTCTTTACAAAACGTTCCTTGAGCTTGTAGCGAGATATCAATCAGACTTTTCGAGTGTCCAAAATTCAATGGCACAAAAGAACTACGACCCAGGTGGGGGTCGAACCCACGACTTTCTCCTCCGGAGGGAGACACTCTTTCCACTGAGCTACAGGGCCACTCATTGGTTTTGGAGTAAGAAACAAACTAACCTCAAATGACGGCATAAACAAAATTTTAGTTTTAGGAAGTTTACGAGTATATAATAACTACAACATCTTGAGAGGTACTCTTATACTACTATTTCGAATCTACACAATTTTCCTCAAGTTATTAATCAGGGGACTAGCACTTCAATTTCCTAGTAGTTTTTACTGCGCAAAGAGCCAGATAGGAATACCATCATGTTAAGATATGCCCGAAAATAAGGCAAACTTCAGATCGCTGGAGCAGAACGAATGTATAATATCAGTAGAAGCGCTTTATTTCATGTAATCACAAATGATTTATTTCTGGTTTAAAGAAACGTATCATTGAACTTTTGACTTTATGTGCGTAAGCGATGCTTTATTTCCATGTTAAAAAACGTCCCTTGCTCCTATATCACATAAAATTATAGTGACACATATTTAGTAATATATGTAGGGCGTGAGACGGGTAGTTACCAACCAAAAACACAATACTTGCATTAGTCACTTGGGCCAAAAATCGATATCGCTTTCAATTTAAGGGACCAGCTCAAAATATTGGCTGCCCAACCCATTCACTGAATCCTTTTTAGATTCCGGTGGAACTAGTGTAAAATAGAGTATGAATCGCTTAATTCATGGCTAGTTTAAAATATCTGACATTTCTCAAGAAAGATAAAGCAAAAAGTGATGAGAGTGGGGTTCGAACCCACGCCTCCGGAGAGACTGCGACCTGAACGCAGCGCCTTAGACCACTCGGCCATCTCACCATCCTCTTTTGATTCCCAACTTAAATAGGTCTTGAGAATAAGGGGTAGGCTGAAGTCGTGCCCATCGCTCACTTTGTTCAAACATCAACCAATGCTGTAAATGACTGTCGATCTTGTCAGATATTTGGATATTATTCGGACACCAATCTATCACTAATTTATCACTAAATACTTTTTCAAGTATACAGTGTATAAGACTTCGGGAGAATCACCAGCAAGCCAGCCTCGTACACAGGTATCTTCTCACCCAGACTCCGGGGTAACCTTTACTGTAGATACAACTGGGAAGTGTATTAACGTATCCACTTGAATTGTGTGAAGAGCCATCTTATGTGAGTCTTGGATGGTTTATATCTTGTCCCACTGTACCTTGCTCTGGGTACACTATCCCTTCATTCGATGTGGTTGTGCCACTAGTTAGAGACCTGATTCCAAAAGACTAACTTTTGTGTTGTACTAAATATTATTGCATGCCATTGTCGTGGTACCAGGGCCTCTCAACATTCTGCTGATACTTGCCACTTCCTATTGCTGTATTTGTGAGCGTTCGAACCTATGAGAGGTACACTTGAATTTCTATCTTTACCGTTTTAGAAGTCCAAGTATTTTGTATCTATCTAATGTGCAGTACTGGTGAATCAGTGGCCCCAGTGTCTAACTAGCACTAGCCTCATGTAGTTCAGCATAGACTCAACTTGGAGATGTTGTGTTGACTACTGACTCAATCAGCTAATGTTGCTGATTAAAAACCGTATACACCCGATCATTCTATCGATTTAAACACGCTTAAGTAATGTTCTAGTAGTATTCATACAACTGATATTAGATATTAGGTGGGTAATATTGTGCGGATTACTGGCCCAATTATCAATTATACGCGCGTGTAAATGAGCATTCATCAATCACGCTATAGATTTGACACTATACCATCGTAGTTGCGCAATAGATATTCCAATTTATCATTTAGCCAAAAATCTTATAATTTGGTTTGTTTGTTGAATAAAAGGTGGGTAATATCAAGCTGTCAGAATGTGCAAACCGTCCTCGCCAGGCTGTTGGAATAATCAACCGGCAAGTTCATCAACTGAGTAGGTCCTATGGCCCCGAAGGTCCGATCGGTCACTACTCACACTTCCCTTTACGGACAGCGCACTACATCTCATCTACCAGCTTGGTATTAGTGTCTTTGTTGGGAAACAAAGACTGGGAATGTACTATATACATAATCCTGTAAAGTACAGTCGTAAGGAAACATCTAATCGCAAACCGGTCTTTTATACCTTTGGGAGGGGAAAATGTTCTGACAATAGGGAAAAATAACACTTATCCCATCAACACCATATTTACAATCACCCACAAAATTAACCAAATCAGGTATAGGTTAGGCAGAGTTTGATGGTCTAGTCCCTTCGCTTGTCAGTAAAAGCGAAGTCATGTATCATTCTTTCCCAAATCATTGACTTCTCCTTCACTCAAGATACCTTCCCAGTATGCATCCTCATTTGGCCAAACATAAGCTCAGAGATTGTTTGGAGGCCATTTATGACCTTGAGGAATGTCACATAGAGCACCCCTATGGTAAGTACTTTGGAATCTGCAACTCCTTCAAGAATGCCCTGAATGGTTGCCTAGGTGAAGAGGTTTGTATCGTTGTTTATTCTCGTCACTCAATAGAAATAAGAAAACTCATTGATATTCTTAGTTTGACGAAAGACGTAAGCTCAACGCTGCCAACGCCCGTGCAAAGAGAGAGAGAGTGGAGAATGTTTGGAAAGAGATCGACGAAGAGGAGTAGACTCCTTTGGCATATGACCCAAGCATCGTTAGATGTGCATTGTACATTTACTTGAGCCTACAACCCAAAACATCACCCGCTATCTACCAAAAAAATTATTCCATGTTGGGCTATTCCGTAATCATTTGATCACGAATGACCATCAACACGTCTAATAAACTCCCTTTCCAGCTGGTATCTCTTCAGTTTGTATTCTTCTCATGCAAGACAGCCATCTGATACCAAAGGTTCGTATCTCCCTCTCAAGTGTGCATTCTATTTGCAGCAATAACTGTGGTATGTTTAGTTCACCCAGATCTATGATGAACAGACGCAGACGTGGAAGTATCCTACTGTTCACTACCTGTTTCAGGACGAGGGGTTACCCGAAGAGCTAGATAACGAGCAGTGCATTGTGGTGGATTTGTCTGAGGATGGTGAACATGTGTCCCAGGTGCGCTCATATAGCTCTAGTTTCCAGGTTACCGAATGCCGAACCACTGTCAACACCTCGAAAACCGACAAGAAAGAGACCACCTTGAACCTCACCATCCACGGGATCTCCAAACGGAAAAACGTGGAGTTGCCGCTGGAAGACTCCCTGGAGCCGCACCAGTTTAACGCCAATATTGATAGCATGATGAATTCTTTCTTAGCTAGACAGAGTTATCTCAAGAAAGCTTTTATAAATCAACAACCATAAATTCCCCTCAAACCAACCTCAAATTGTGACTTGCCCAAACTAATTAATCAATGTGGATAATTTTATGTGAACACCTCTGAATTTATAGCCCAGCATTGGTGTGGCTTCGTTTGATCAACCACTTTCCCATGAGCTTCCTCTTTAAGCCTAAACCAAAGTCCCCTCAATTAATTGTACAGAGCGTGAGGGATTCCCTATATCGTATCGATGGCCCAGACTGGAAGAAGGTCTGATTCATTTCCTCTCATCTGGGTGTCAGTTGCTTTGTTTAGCTCATGTCGCTATGTTCGTTGTAGGCCACTGACGAGGTGACGAAAACCCTGCAAATCCTGAGGGAGATGTTGAAAGAGGGCGACGGTACACACTTGGGTTAAACCTTCCTTCCACTCTATTTGCTTATGCAACTCCAACCTCATTCAGCCACGCAGGTTGCGCAAGAGATACATAAAGCGGATCTCTTGCAACTTCTCATCCTGAAACTGCCCAGTCTTGAGTTCGAGGTAAATGCGACAGCAACTTCCACCAACCTGTTCACATGCGCTTACACAAAGCGGTAGACGAAAAAAGACGTGGTCAGCATATTCGGTCTACTCTTGCGAAGCCAGCTT